AAAAAACATCATCATCATCATCATCATCATCATCATCATCATCATCATCATCATCATCATCATCATCATCATCATCATCATCATCATCATCATCATCATCATCATCATCATCATCATCATCATCATTCTGCACCCCTCCTCTTCCTCCACCTCCTCCTCCTCCTCCTCCTCATCCTCCTAGTTTCGTCTCGTTTCGCTACAGCTTGGAACTCCTACTGAGCTGGCTGGAACTGTACGTGGGTGTAGCAATGATATGATGGCTTCTGCGCGGGACGCCGCCACATCCACACCCGGGCACTGCGTCCGACTGTTCGCACATACAAGATTATCCTGCAGCCGTACCTGTACCTGATACCCGCATGATAAACCAACTGTGCATCCAAAGCCCGATGATATACTTGTTAGTCGTGGCGAGCCGGGTGCTCCCGCGGCTGTGTCTCGCGGCGCTCAAGGCTACGAGTTCACGCAGGGGGCAGGATTTCACGACGATGGACCTGCGGCGCCTCACGACGCTGAAGGCTGAAATCATGAAGTGGTCCAAGCCCGTTGCGCCCAACAGGCGCTCCTCGCTCCGCACAGGGTTCGAGGAACCAACTGGGTCAGGCCCCTGACCAGGGCACCCGCGGCAACACGGCTCCGCCCCTCGGCATCTCCGGGCCTCGTGGAAGCCTCGCACGGGGACGGGGAGGCGGACGGGGAAGACCCCCCCCCCCTGCGCGACGGAGGAATACCCCGCTGTCGCTCCTGCTGATGCGCCCCGTGGCGCTTGTGCATCACGGAACTCACATCGTCCGTGTCTCGAGCTGTAGGCCGCAGGGGCCTCACGGCGACGCCTCGCAACGAGGACGCGGAGGCGCAAAGCGCCAGAAGGCGGGCGGGACCAGCGAGCGCCGAAGCGAGCACTGGCTCGGCACTGCGCAGTTCGTCACGCCAGCGGCGCCCACGGACGAGCGAGGCTGGCCCAGCTGGTGCCGTCTGTTTCTCATCCTCCTCTTGCTCTCCAGGGTCCAGCTCCGCATCCTTCCCCCTCCTCCCCCTGCCACTCCTTCTGCTGCTCCACCTCCTCTTCCTCCTTCTGCTGCTCCACCTGCTGCTGCTGCTGCTCCTCCTCCTCCGTCTCCTCCTCCTGGTCTTCATCCTCCTCCTCCTCCTCCTCATCATCATGATCATCATCCTCATCATCATCCCCATCCTCACCATCATTATCATCATCATCATCATCATCATCATCATCATCATCATCATCATCATCATCATCATCATCATCATCATCATCATCATCATCATCATCGTCATCATCATCATCATCATGATCATCATCATCATCATAATCATCATCATCATCATCATCATGATCAGCATCACCATCACCATCCTCAGCCTCATCCTCCTCAGCGTCATCATCATCATCATCATCATCATCATCATCAGCATCATCATCATCAGCATCATCATCATCATCAGCATCATCTCCCTCATCCCCCACAGCCCTTTTCTCCCTCCTCTCTCCCGCTCCTTCCTCTCCTGGGTCCCAGGGAGGAGGACAGACGACGAGCACGAAGATGACGAGCACGAAGACGACGGCGACGACAACGGCGACAACGAGAACAAGAACGCGCAGGGCGACGACAACGACGACGATTGCGACGACGACGGCAACGACGAGCACGAGAACGAGAACGGCGACGACGGCGACAAGGACGACGTCGAGAACGAGAACGAGAACGAGCACGAGCACAACGACCACGACCACGACGACGACGACGACAACGACGACGACGACGACGACGACGGACGACGACGACGACGACGACGGACGACGACGACGACGACGGCGACGACCGGCGTGCACCTCCCTGGCCACCGGGGTAGTGTGCACGGCGGACGGCGTGGACGGAGCCTGGCCGCCCCCCTTTCTCCTCCTCCTCCTCCTCGCTCGCTCGCTCGCTACCTAAGGGCAAATGAGGTTCGAAGCCCCTACTTAAAAGGGAGGGAGAGAAGGCGAAGACAGCACCCCAACATGCACGTGCAGAGGAAGGGGGGGAGGGTGAGATGGGTGGCTCAGGAGCCTCCCTCCGCAGACTTGCTTAGGAAGGCCTGCATCAGGAGCGTCGCGGCAAGACCAACCGCAGACGCAGGGAACTGGCCCCCATCACGTGGCGGCGGGGGATGGCCATAGCCATGCTGACAACGCCCCCCCACACAATCCAGGCACGAAGGCGTCCAGAGACGCAAGACCCTTGGCCACGATAAGGCTGGGATACAAATGCGGAGCACCGAAAGAGCACATATCCACCACAACCGAAGCCACCCCACCGCAACTTATCAGTCCTCTGATCTCGGGCGCTTTCTGACACCCTTGCGGGGCGAACAGGATAAAAGGCAGATCATGCTGCACGCGCAAGAGACAAAAGAAAAGAGCGGCCTGCAGGGACTCGTTGTCCTCACCTACCTCCTCCCCTTCCTTCTGCGAGCATCGGTCGCAGCCCCAGGGCCTTGCCTGAGACCGTGCAGTGTGTCCTTGATCTCGCCACGATGGTAGGTGAGGGGCAGCTAGAAGTCCTGCGACCTCGCCCTCGGCCATCCTTCTCTCCCAAAGTCCGACCTCATCCCGTCCTGGCCAGGAGGCAAGCAGGGCACCTGGAGCGAGAGGGTCAGAGCAGGAGGTGTCACTAAAGGCCCTCACCATTCTAATGTCCTCGGCCTGCAGTCCCAAGAGACCCACGATTTGCGCATCGGGCCAGGTAACCAGGCGATGGCACTCCATGGGGGGCGGCCCGTCGTCTAACTCAAAGGGCACACGGGGGATAGCAACTCGCTCAGGGAGAGTATCAACTATCCTCAACCGAAAGGGGGGTCCGTAAACCTTCTGCGCAGGGACGAGGGCAAACGTGTCCGACTTGCCCCTCCTCCTATTATCCCGAGCTTCGAGTTTTCGCTGTTCCACCGCCTCTTGAAGCTCATCCTCGCTGGGTCTCAGGGGGGAGGTGACCCACGCACGAAAACGCGCAACGGACCTGTGAAGGTGCTTGATCAGCCTCACCCCCTGCCAAAATTCCACGCAGCAAATGAGACACATCGAACCAGTGGCCACCATCCCGGGGGCATCCACTGTCTTGTGCTGCTTAGATCTGTGAATCCTGTAGAGACGAGCTGTGCGCGCCACGTGCCCACACTCGTAACACAAGAAACCTTGAGCATTCTCGGGTGCAGGCGGGGGTGGCAAGGCCTCGTTAACCTGCGGCTGGCTTCCCCCATAGGGGTGGGGGGGCTCAGAGTCTGTCGGTGCTTCCGCCCAAGCCCTAACTGGCTCGGCACTCGTGACAATGTCATGCGGATTGGAAGACATCTCATCATTGCCCAAATGCTCAGGCAGCTGAGGCAATTCCTCATCAAGCGGCTGATATAAATCAAAGGCGTCCTGCTGAGCCAAGCTGTCTCGCTTGGCCTGCTGAAGAACATTGCGCGAAACTGGACACTGGAGTTTCTTGATTGACCTCAACTGCCACTGTCGATGCCGCAACGTAACGTCCCAACATCTTTTGGCACTGGCAGCCGCTTGGGCAACGATAGCTAAAGATTCACGCTTATTCGACCGAGCCAAACGGATCCAAGAGTCATCGTCGAACCCATACTGCTTATCATCTGTTAGAAGATACTGCCTGATCCATCCAAAGTCCTGCCTTACTAAGCGCGACCAGCCCTTACCCCACATGAAACCGAGTAAAAGTCGCACCAGAGGGGTCGCGCCAACCAGTATTCTAGGAAGTAGCCTGAGCCTTGCTACTATCAACACGATGTGTAACGGTAGCTTCTTGACCGACACTAACACGTCCACTAGCGATTCTCGAACTTCCCTGCAATTCAAGACGCCAAGGTTCAGCGGGGTCCTGTAGATTGAAATGTAGCCCGTCAGTGCTCGGCGGTAAAGGTATCGTGGTAGATGATCCCACGTGCCAGCTGCAAAAAGAAACTTGGATCCAGCATATGCTTCGCTGTATCTGACCTTGTGCGTCATGTCTAACTGCGAACAATTTGCAACCACTTTTTTTATCGGTCTCAAAGCCGATCTTGAACTTCTGATCCGCTCCGTGATTTCGTCACCCATGGTGCCACCATCATTGAAACGCACACCTAGCACTTTGTGCACCCTCACAATTGGCACACGAAAGTCGTAGAGCCCACTGGCCAAAAACCCAGCCTCCTTGGTGTGGAACTTTCGGGCTTGCGTTCTGGAGCCCTTCCCTCGAAAGCTTAGCATTGCAGCAGTTTTGCTGAAATTCAGTTTGAATCCATGCTTAGTACACTGTGCGTATATAATCTCAGTCATTCTCATTATCCTATAGTCGAGCTCCATGGCCGAAGCCGCCGCCAAGGCCGCAAGGTCATCAACAAAGGAAGTGCTGGAGTGGGATTTCTCCAAATCAGAGTCTGAGCCAAAATGGGCGACGGATGGGGGTGGTGTCCAAACCAAGTCCTCCTGGGCGGCCTGCAACTCCACTCGTCCCTGGATCCGAGCAAAAAGGACATTGAACACGTCCGTAGCAGGTATGGTACCAGGGCGGCACCCACGACCAGGGCACTCGAAACCTTGAGCTCCTCGGACTCTCCAAAAACTGCCAACCTGGCTCTCACGCGCCAGCTCAAGGAGATGCGGGGGCATATCAACGTCGTCCAGGGGTCCCCCCGCTTCGAGCTCAGCCTCTAACCCCGCGCGCACGAAAGGCCCCAAATCATCGTTCAGGAGCGCATCTTCGAGCCTGCCCGCCTCAAGGGGAAGAGAGAGGCACAGCTGTTTGAGGGCAGAGTAAAAGGCCGCGTGCAAATCAACGAAGACCCCCCCCGCAGAGAGACCACAGTCCTTAGTGGCGTTCCAAAAAGCTCTAACCATCATAAGGGCCCCCTCCAACCCGCGGCCTGGGGGACCTCCACACTGCACACTTAGGATCGCTCGCTCCACGAATCAGAGCGAGGCTTGCCGAAGCATTTTGTGATGCACC